GCACAAATGTGAGACATAAAGAAGTGCGAGCAAATTGCAAATACACCAGGCAATAACAGAGGCGTAAATCTAATCAATATGCTTTTACCTAAAGGAAACACTTGTGCACAAATGCAAAGATTACAGAAGCACTTTGGTCGGAGAGCTGCAGGCGTAAAGACAGGTCAGTGTTTATTTTGCAGCGTGTGCACATCTGGGCACTAAAGGTAAAGTGTGCCTGAGAGCAAGAATCTCACAAATGTTGTTTGGCAGGATTGTGCCGCTGCAGCAAAAGCAGAGGAAGGCCAGGTGTGCAGAGAAATGAAGAGAAATGAGATGAAAACACAACATCCAAAGAGTTAACTACACAAACACACATCTGATTCTCCAACACAGGGGCTCAGCTGTGAGGCTGGACCCTCAAGACCCTCTCATCTACTCATGCAACCAGTCACACCTGTCTTAAGAATCTCAATCTTCAGGTTTTCTCAAACATGGGGTGTAAAGTTGTGTTTTTTTGGCACACACCTGGTCTCACAGTCTTCAGACGCACAGGCTCCCGAAAGTGCCGGACCACAGCCAGGGTGTCCCGGTTGGTGAGTCCGCTCACCGGCGTCCCGTTCACCTCCAGCAGCACGTCCCCGCTGCAGGGGAACCTCCCGGCGTGACACACGAGCGCCTCCGAAACTACGTGTCCGATGCTGGGGAACTCTCCCAGCTCCGCGCCGCCTTGCACCTCCACCACGGACACCAGCTCTCCCGAGCCACCCCACGATATGGTGCTCTCCTGGACCTTAGCGGACCAGTGCTTCTTCTTTTTCAGGGTCTTGGACATTGTTGGTTAATCTTGTAAACCTCTAATAGGAAGTCCAAGAACGATTGTCCTTCAACCTTTGCTGCTGATCCTAAGACGCAGTGACGCACGGGGGAAACATCGCAGATTAGAAAAGTTGAGGTTGTTTTCTTGTGTTGTATTCCATCACAGAGAGAATAAATCAGTTATTTCAGATCAGACTCCTTCAGTTTTCGATCGATCCTCCCATCAAACTACTCGAGCATCACCTGTCTACGACCGGGATGCGAGATCAGCTGCGTCAGTGTCGCATTGGAGCGGAAAGTGCTGCTTCTGTCTGATGCTGGGGCGTCTCGATCCCCACACCCCAATTCACAGAAATGTGGACTTTAAGGGGGAAGAAAAGCAGCAGCAGCAGCGTCCTTCAAAACGTCAAATGTCGAAAAAAAAGCACAGAGCAGTACGGATCCGGTGAGCCCCGCGGTTTTTACGCACAAGACTCCAGGGAATCCAAACAAAAACAGAAAACACAGTCCGGGGAAGAGTTTGACAAAGCGAGGAAAACTTCAGATATGATCTCCAAAATGAGATGAATCAGCTGTTGGGTACTCCTCCGCTACAGTGACAGCTCCTCATCCAAGCCTTCCGGAGAGGCAACTTTACTCTGCGCACCTGTCCTCGTCTCCTGCCCTCCTCCCTCCTCGGTGACATCAGCAAGGCAGTCCTCCTTGGAAACGGAAAAACATACCTGGGCCCTCCTGAAGCGGGTCTGATATCTGATCCCTCTCACTCTGAGCTCCACTGCCCGCTGACTGGTCCTCCGTTACGCACTCTGCGCCCTCCCCTCACTCCTCCGGAGGCACTGTGGGGATTTTATTTCTGCTCCAAACTACGCAGCAGCATGAAACAGTCGTGATCCGATTAGGCTTCACTCCAGAACTTTTTTTTTCAAATCTTTTTCCGTGTTGATTTCCTGATTGCTCTGAGATCTGTCCAATAAGAGAAAGGAGGCTGACCCTGAAGGCTCTCCACTGAGCCAACAGGGACTCTCTGGAGGCGGGTCTTCGCTGCTTGGGAAGCGCTGGATTTTGTTTCCATGGTGTGTTTAGTAAGGCGGAGTTCCGGCACAGACTCGGCTTGTTTATTCTAATTTAAAGTTATTTATGACACCTCATGATTATTCAGAAAGCGTCAGCCTGCTCTTTATCCAATCATTTGCAACTTCTTGTTGAATTTTGAGTTTTATTTTGTAGTTTTTGTTCAGAAAAACCTTCCTGGAGGACTGCAACCTTTCCTGGACTCAGCTCAGGGGGAAGGAGAGTTGCTCGAGGCTATTTCTTGCCCAATTTCGCCCTCTTGTGGTCAGTTTAGACAGAGTCCAGCACTTGTTTCCAAGCATCAACTCTGATATTTCTCTGTTCTTCCTGCTCAAACTGTATGGAAGTAAATCTGTGCCATCTGAATTTAAATTTTAATTTCTAAAGCTGAATTTTTTGCATCAAAATCAGACTTTGAATTTTGAAACTATTAAATTTCAAGCACGCATTTTTATTTTTGACACTTATTTTTTCACAATGATGAAATAAATTCAGTGTAAAAAAAAAAATCAGTCTCTCAAAAAAAATGTTCAGTAAAAATTCAACTTAAAAAAAAACTAAAAAAAAATGACACTGAATTATTTTACACTGACATTTTTTATAGTTTTTTTTTTTTTTTCTAAGTTGAATTTTTACTACACAAATATTTTGAGTGAGCGATTTTTTTTTGCACTGAATTTCTTTCATCATTGGTAAACCACCTTAGTAGTCACAGCTGCCCTGGGACAGACTGATGGAAATGTGGCTGCCAGTTTGCACCTACGGCCTCTCTGACCACCACCACACACAATCATACAGCAGTGGAGGACACACAAAGTGGGAGCAAAGTGGGTCCTCTTGCCCGAGGACACAACAGACAGACTAGGGAAAGGCCGGGACTTGAACCGCCAACCTTCCAGTTATTGGCCCACAGCTCTACCTCCTGAGCTACTGCCTCCCTGAATGCATGGATGGATAGATATGATCGCACCACATCCCTCTTCTTGCTGCTTCCTCTCCTCAGTCATCAGGTCTTCTTGCTGTAATTATCATCCCCTGTCTGTCGGCTCTGAGTACAGCTCTGGTGGTGGTTTTGATTTTCTACAGCCTGCACAAAAGCAACAGAGCATCTCCTCTCTTCTCACAAACAGTTGGAATCTGAATAAGCGAGTGAAAGCACAATATGTAAGCCTTATCTCTGTATTTACCTACAGTTTGTCTAACAGAGTTTGTTGCTGTAAGCACTCCAAGAGTCCAAGCAGCTTTGTTGCCCTGGGAAATCCTGTGGTTTTGGCAGACGGGCCGCCTCGGCTTCATTTGTAAAGGTCTGCTGGAAGAGGAGAAGTCCCTCAGAGGTCCAGACTGAATGCATATGACTAAGTTACAAGTTTGGAGACGGATCAGAGGGAGAGCAAGGCTGTATACTCCTAAAGATATGAATAGAAAAAGAGATACTGATCTTGGTTTTGTTTGTTTTCATTGTTACAAAGGGGTCAGCCATTGCAGACAAAGCCTGATTTGCCCGTTGAATCGGTTTGCCCTGAATCTTCTAAACACTACAGATGAAGTTAAACAACCTGAAGTAACAGAGTTTGTAGACTGGATCTTCCTTCTACATGGAGCAGATGTTTTACGGTGCAGATCCATCCCTGAACTTCTCACAGAGGTCATTGTTTTTGAGGGCAAAGCACACTACAGCTTTTTTTCCCTTGACTTATAAATCCCCCAAACATGAGCACTACAGATATCCTTCTTTGTTCAACAGCAGATCATATACTCCAGCTTTGCTTGCTTCTCTTGAATCTGAATGAGAATCTCAGCCACAGATTGATTTGTTTGGCTGTAATTGGCTCCCTTCCTCCCTCAGGACTACCTGATGTCTGAGTGCAGGCCGGCGCTCGGCGATGCTGCTGCCAGGAACATCTTAATTGGCCCCGGCCTCTAAGCTCTCTCGGGGTGTCTGGGGCTGGGCGTGGCATTTGAAGGACGCAGAATTCGGATTCAACAATTGGGCAGAGGGCAGCAGAGGTGCCTCTCAAATGGCAGGCTTCAGAGAGAGAGGATCATGATGCACCTCAGCATCAGCGGGAGCGACGTGTAAGGCCGGAGTTATGGCTGAGAAAATGAAACGCAAAGGAAACAACACTGACCATGTATGAAGGGACGTGGGCTGAATATGAGGCTGAATATGAGGCTGGAAATGAGGCGCATTTTCCCAGGTGGATCCTCAATTATTCAGGGAACAATGTGTGAAAGTGTGCGTGCTGAAAAACTGTTCTTGGAGTCCAGCATAGAGGGGAGAAGAGTTTTGAAACTTATCCAATTTTAAAGGCTGAACATGCGTCTTTTTTAAGTCCAGCAGGGGGAGCCGTAAACGGTTGTCGTGAATATCTAATGTTTGGAAATCTAGCCTGCATTCTGTTTAGTGTCCAGCAGGGGGACCAAACTGGTTCAACATATTATGTTTAACTATCTGACACATGCGAAAAGTAGCTGATCTGGTTTATCAATATTGTGTTTCCATATATTGATAAACCAGATCAGACAATGCCGAAGTAACGCTGTACTTTGCCAGATTTATTTCTCATACTGCAGCTGACTGACCAATCACAATCAAGCACACTCAACAACCAATAGGAGTGCGTATTTTAAAAACTTGGCACTAAAAAAAAAACAAAGACTTATATCTATATGTATATTTATGTCTATATATATATATATTTTTTATTTCTTAATTTTATTTATTTAGTTTTTGCTTTGTCCCCTTACTCTGTTGCATTATTCTTTTTAATTTTATTAATATAATTTTTTTCAAATGTTATTTGTTTTATATAACTCCCCAAAACAAGGACTCACACATAGGCATACATACACAAACACACACACACACACACACACACACACACACAAAAGTTCCTGGCTTGTGTCCGTCTCGTCTTGTCTCCCTCATCTGTTTGTTAGTTTATTGTCCCTCACCTGTCATGTTCTGTTTTGCATCACTTAATAAAAAAATATATATATATTTAAAAGAAAATTAAAAGAAAAATAAATAAAAATAAAAATAGAACTTGGCTCTGAATTGAAAGGTAACAAATTAAGCCATTACACCCTTGTAGCTGAGCCAGGACCCTGGAGGTTAACAACATTTTTATAACGAACAAACGACACAGAGAGCAACACTTTATTACCTCTTTATTTTCACAAATGTACAGACTTATTAGCAGAGCTCTTTATTCTCATTACAGTTTTTTCCATACTTTTTATCCTCGGGCACAGTGCTGTATCTGTCAATACTTTACTGTGACTTTAAAAACCAAAAAACACCCACACAGGAAAGCTGAATGGACTGAAGTACATTTGTTTTTTAGCAGTGGTTATTATCACCAACCACAGGAAACACTTGGTTTTATTTGAAGAGATACTGCTTTTCATAAAGTACTCCCTGTTATTGCTCTTTAAGAGGTTCCATATCTTTCAAGAATACACATTAGATTATCACATGAGGTGAGTGCTGCCTGTCCAAAAGACGCTGGTCTACAAAAAAAGTGAATACTGGCCGTGTTTAGGTCCAACAACACACTTTTATCCTCTCCTTTCTTGTCCTCCAAAAGTTGCGTCGCTCCTAAACTAGTTTTGTTGGCTTGCATTTGTACAACACAGAAAAGGTGGAGGAAGAACCTGCGATACCTCTGACTGAAGGTGTTATGACGAGTGCGAGTATGATGAGATGAGAATGTAATCCAGTGTTGTCCTACTAATCTGACGGCACTGCCTCTTAAAACAGAGGCGAACACATCAAATGACCGAACAGACGATCTATGAAAATCGATTAAATAATTCCTCGGTAACAAGCGAACAGTCGTCAAAGCGTAACAAATGAAAAGTCCCTTATTTACAGAAGCCAGAGTTTGACTTTCAGTGTAGCTTATTTTGAAATGAACATTCAAACTGATTATCGAATAACCGATCGGATGCATCACATCCGAATACCTGCTACGAGAACTTAAGAAAGTGAGGTGTCACGAGATTTTGTATGATGGAGATTTAAAGATGAAACTGCAACCATGAAGTCCTCAAGTAAAGTCATGGATTTAAAGGACTCTGTCTATGATGAAAAATTCAGTTTTTTTTATCCATGATTGGCAGATAAAGTATTTTAAAATCCAAATCCGTGCAATTATTCCATCTGACGTTTCTACTTTTATATCATCCTCCTGTGAAAACATGAGACATTGATGTAGGATTGGATTAACGCTAAACGTAGGAGATTAAATCTGATGAATTTCTGTGCAGCTTCAGTGAGAATTGAGCCTGCATGGAGGTTAATCCTTTCAGGTAACATTAAAAACGCTCCTCCTCGTTTCTCACGCTAACTCTCTAAGAGGCGTCTCATCAGAACGGAGGTTGAACAGAGTTAAGAGTTTCCTGCAGCAGTATAGGGAGCAGCAACCGTCGTCTGAGGCCTCAGTTCATCCTGGATGGACCAGAGGAAAAACCTTTCTGGGGAGGGGGGTTCTGAAAGAGGGCGGCGGTCCCTCTTAGACTTTACTGCTCCAGAGGGATGTTGGGAACAAGATGTAGGAGACAGACCAGAGCAGGTAGTAGACGCATGCAGGAGGGAAGGAGGAGCAGAACACCATGATGACTCCTGGAAAGAGAGAAATAGATGTTAGAAATAAGTTACGATGAACTTAGACGTGCTCAAAAATATCCATGGCGGTCTCTAACAGACAGTAGCTGCGTTTACATGGGCACAAATAATCGGAATGAAGGCCCAATCGGAATAAAAATGCGTCATTTACATGTCGATCGGAAGATTCTGAACCAATCGGCTCGATCGGAAAGAAATTGTATTCTGATCAAGAGGGGTGGCTTATGCTGATCGTTATTCCAAAACGCGTCCTTATTCTGATCGTGACCCTCTAACCTGACTCGATCTTCACTCTTTTATTTATTGAGGTCAGTTCAGGAGGTTTCATTATTAAAACACAACCGCAGATGTCGTGTCTGCTTCTCCGATAACATAACAAGGCGTACAAACGGCGTAATAATATCACATCTGCAGGCACAGTGCAACCTTTGAGAGAACAATAAAATAAGTATGCAAGGGCGCCATCTAGTGACAACATTTAACTGTGGGAAAACTTCTGAATTGGATGGAGTGAGCCACTACGGCGTTTGTTGATTTGTTGACATTACAGACATAAATACAACTCTTCTTCTTCTGCGGTTGTTTTAGCGAAATCAGACAACTCTGCACACGTCATGATCGGACTATTTGATTTTGCGCCCATATAAACATTGGATTCAGATTATCTGATCCCTCAAATTTTTAATCAGATCAAGAAATTTTGCCCATATAAACATGACTACTGATTAGGAAATACATGATTTATCTTCAAAGCTCCAAGTTTCAGAGAAATCCGATAAACGTTCGATAATATTGGAACTTTAAAGAAGACACGCTCTTGACTGGTTGAGATAATTTAATGCTTTAAAATGGATTTACCTCCAGCATAAACGACTTTCTTCCAGGCCTGGGACTCCAGCACTCGGTCATGAGGGTAAAAGTTCTGACTGATCATGAAGGGGATCATAGCCACCGCAATGACACGCAGCAGAGCCAGGTTTCCCCCCGACAGCAGAGAGGCGCTGGCGAGGATGGCTGAGGAGTAGATGCAGGGCAGGCCGCGGTACACGAACGGGATCCCTAAAGACGAAACAAATCGGAGTGAATTCACGGCTCCAATCGAAAGAACATCGCGTTTTGAACTTACCGCTGGAGAAGAAGCAGAGGCGGACGAACACGGACAGGACGTAGCACATGCACAGGATGTTGTCCAGCAGGTTGGATGTCCTCAGGAGGAGAGAGGTGGCGATACCGAAGGTGGTGAAGTCGGCGAAATCATCAAGCTTTGCACCTGAAGGTCAAGAAGAAACTCAGCTGTTAAACCGTCACCATCGTATCTTCGGTGTCGTATTCGGCAACAATTAGCAGATTAAACTTGTTGTAAAAGGAGGTTATATTCATATTTAATTACCCAAACATAAACTAATTTTGTTTTTTGTGAACTTAGAGTGAGCTGTTTACATCTACAGAAGGCTTACTGTCAGACTCCACCAACATAGAGCACAACATCATCAGCATAACATCGGATAAAAGGTTAATGTTGGTATCAGTAAAAATGAAACTGAGGATACAGGAAGGTCAGCCATCAGCAGAAATCTAATATCGAACATCCCACGTGTTTCTGCCATAACTAAGATTATGAATTCTGAATGCCTTACCTCAGGAGTGGAACTGTCCTATAATTAGACTAATTTTAATCCCGCGGTAGCTCGGCTTTGCGTTGACATTCAGTCAAAGGCACGGTAGATACGTTATCATCCCTCCAGCACGGTCCCTGCAAATGTTACTGACATGTGACCGCTGGGTATTGTGTAAGTGCAAAATATCTCCAAGTGGAAATTTCAGTGTCAGCCCATTCTATCAACAACATTCTCCGCTGCCCCGTCCCTTTATCCCTCAGGAACACGGAGCATGTTTTCAGCAGATGAGGACGAGATGATCCGGGCCACTGCTCAAATGAACGAGGTGGAATTCCACAGCCCAGGGTCAACAATTTTAGCAATTTCAGATATGCAGAGAACCCAAAGGGACGGGATAAAATAGACAATTGGAGCGTGATCCTGTGGAATTAGGCTGCTTAATCAGAAAGTGATTGTTCATTTGACAAAAATACGTGGGGAGGAGGCACAACAACATCCACCTGCATAGTCATGCAGAAAAAAACACGCCGCCACACAAAGGGCCCTGAAATGCGCAGCCGGTGATGAATGGTGATGCACCTGATAGCTATTTTGGGCTACACGGAAAAATGTGAACTTTACTGCCAGAAGTGATTTCACAACAGCGGTTGGTGCCTATAGACTCACAGAAACCCTCCATGCCGGGATTTCACATCTGATAATCAAAGCTTTTGGAAATTTCGCTTCTGTTGTGTCGTATTAGCTGAACGCCTCATCAGGAACCGATTGGATCAATAATTCATATGCAAAAAGCAGCGGAAACAGAAGGCTCAGTAACCTGTGAGCGAGCTAACCTTTACCGTGACCTGTTTCTTCTTCTGCAGCCAAAATCATGTCAGCAGAGACAACCGATAACAGCTGAGGTCTACACCCTACATCCAAAATAAGTTTCCTCACCACATCAGGAGGTTTTTGGACTCTGATCAATGAATAATGGATAATAAATCACTTTTTTCAGTCAATAAATCTTTATTTATATGGTGCCAATTTATAGCAAATGTTATCTCAAGGAGCATCTTGAGAAGTTGCTCCTGTGTATTTACACTTGGATGGTAGAACTAGAAGAGTATTTGAATTTAAGCAAATCCTCTATACTTCTGAATGTATGAGACCCTGAATTAAAGGGATATTCTGGCGTAAAATAATTTAAGGTCAAACGCGCCGTAACACCGAGTTAGACACCACCTTGAGAGATGAACGTTGCCGACCGCTTGCTTCTCTAGTTATACCAACTTTAGTAACGATGGCAGGATAGCAATACACAGCGGTCTGAGGAGCCATAAACAAACCTCAACCAAAACGCCACTCTATAGACACGAATAATTATTTTTTCATGGAAATGCAATCAGACCGAGACGCTAAGGCAGAAGAACTACCACGTCTGCAGTACAAAATGATGAACATGGTGATTATTACTTCGAGGAAATGATACAATAATGATCATAAATGTTCTTCCTTGAGCTGCGTCACCCCGCTGTAGTTCGTAATGGACTGGCCTGAGGTCTCGCTAGAAACAAGCGTCTGCTGGAAGAGAGTGTGTGAGTTGTGTTTAGTCTCTTTGCTAAAGAAATTAGTCAAAGCTAAAAAGATGTTTGGTGTCTAGTACTATGACTGTGACCCTATATGTCCTGTTGATGAAGTTAGGTGCTGTTCTGAGCATTATTTGTGGCTATAGAGTGGTGTTTTGGTTGAGGTTTGTTTATGGCTCCTCAGATCGCTGTGTATTGCTATTGTGCGGTCGTTACTAAAGTTGGTATAACTAGAGAAGCAAGCGGTCGGCAACATTCATCTCTCGAGGGGGTGTCTAACTCTGTGTTATGGTGTGTTTGACCCCTAAATTAATTTTATGCCAGAATATCCCCTTAAGTGTTGGCAAGTTCTGAGGCTCAGCGGGGACTCAAGAAAGAGGTTGACAATCCTAAAAGCTGTCTTTTAATAACTCTGGGAGTCCTTAGAGATACAAAAGCTGCTAAAAGACGACACCCATTTGCTTAATCGCACATAACATAACATAAAGTATGTATGAATCCTCTTTTGAGGACTCTGTAAGACTATCCAGAGTCTTTCAGTTGGTCCCCTTTTGTTTATAACTTTGTGCAGCCAAATTAGAAAGTCCAGACAAAGGCCTGTGCTGCGAGCCCTGCCAACAAACCCTGTTCAAGTTTATCTGCGCTGAGAGCTATTGACCGCAACAGTCCACTTACCCAGTGCAGAACAGGCATCAAGTCGCCTGGCAACCGCTCCATCTGCCAAATCCAGCAGGTAGCCAATCAGGACCAGCCAACACGCAGCATGATGGTGCCTGGACAAAACAGGACAGTGTTGGCTTCAGCCGTTTGATGACGGCGACCCCCCCTTCATTCAGAGGGTAAGACAGTTGCTGTTTTCCACCAGTTTAAAGAGATGAAACTAGTCAGATCTGGATCTAATTATACTTTGAGGGTTTGTCTTTCTCCTGCAGAGACAAATCAGTTCAGCTTATCTGGTTACATCAGGAATCTGCAGGATAAATAAGGGTAAGGGGTGGTCTTTCTGATTCGATGTTGTGGTTGTTTTTCGGCTTTTTTAGGTTACTGAGTTATAGATTTTGCTGACTAATGTGTCAGACGGTAAAATCTGACAATGGTGCTTTCACTTACCCATTAAGACTGCTGAGGATGGAGGCCATGCCCATGACCATGTTGGCGACTGACAGAGCATTCGCAGCATTTTTACGTGCAAACTCCTTGATCTGGAGTCCCGTGGCCTCGTTACTCAGAAAGAACTTGTTGGTGCACTGGAAGAGACCTGAGACCGGATAACGGCAGCAGTTAGAAGACGTTTACATCGGGGTTTATCACCTATGCTGTGGTTTGAGCAGCTAAAGCTAAACAACTAAATCCCTTCCCTGATGCATGGGAAGAGATAACTGAATTAAACTCAAGAGTGTTTGAGAGGGAAAATGGTGAAGAAATCTTAATTTTACCCAAAACCTTATCACCCTTATCTTATTTCTATCATTAAAACATGTTAGATTTAAAGGGATATTCCGGTGTAAAATTAATTTAGGGTCAAACACACCGTAACACCAAGTTAGACACCCCCTTGAGAGATGAATGTTGCCGACCGCTTGCTTCTCTAGTTAAACCAACTTTAGTGACGACCGCACGATAGCAAAACACAGCGGTCCGAGGAGCCATAAACAAACCTCAACAGTACATATAGGGTCCCAGCCACTAAACATCTTTTTAACTTTGACTAATTTCTTTCGCAAAGAGACTAAACACAACTCACCTACTCTCTTCCAGCAGCCACTTGTTTATAGCTAGACCTCGGGCCAGTCCATTACGGACTACAGCGGGGTGACACAGCTCAAGGAAGAACATTTATGATCATTACTTTATCATTTCCTTGAAGTAATAATCATCATATTAATCATTTTGCACTGCAGACGCAGAGGTTTTTCTGCTTTAGCGTCTCAGTCTGATTGTATTTCCATGAAGAAATGATCATAAATGTTCTTCCTTGAGCTGCATCACCCCGCTGTCGTCCATAATGGACTGGCCTGAGGTCTCGCTACAAACAAGCGGCTGCTGGAAGAGAGTAGGTGAGTTGTGTTTAGTCTCTTTGTAAAGAAATTTAAAAAGATGTTTGGTGGCTAGTTCTATGGCTGGTACCCTATATGTCCTGTTGATGAAGTTAGGTGCTGTTCTGAGCATTATTTGTGGCTATAGAGTGGCGTTTTGGTTGAGGTTTGTTTATGGCTCCTCAGACTGCTGTGTATTGCTATCGTGCGGTCGTTACTAAAGTTGGTATAACTAGAGAAGCAAGCGGTCGGCAACATTTATCTCGAGAGGGGGTGTCTAACTCGGTATTATGTTGTGTTTGACCCTAAATTAATTTTTCACCGGAATATCCCTTTAAGATATACTTCTATTTTGGTTCTCCTGTTTTATATAAAAGATGCATCACTTACCAAGACGTATGTTTATTGGACCGAGACCGGCCTTACGATACATTCATCCACTTTCAGATCACTAAAATGCATCAATACTTCACATTCATAATGCAATCACAGGTGTGCATCTTACAGCATGCAAATGAATAGACTGCCTCACTATGCAGCATTTAAGTATCAGTAATAACTATATAACAAATATTTGCATCGTAACATGCAGTAAAATTTAACACTCATTCATATGAATAAATACGAATAGAAAGCGTGTGTTTATGTGAGTTATTAGCACTTATCAGAGGGAGGACATAAGCACAAATACTGATGTGGAGAGGGCAGCTATAGGGGACTAACACGAACACCACTGGCTAATCGTGAGAGTGAGTTGGACCTACTGCACTGACACATACCAGACGTGAGATCAATTAGCCTGTTAAACACAGCAGCACTCTAATAAATACCACTGCAGCCCCGGATTAAATGGAGATGTTGGCATTAAATGAACCTGACCCCTGAGGTGTATGTTCGCTCAAATTGCTATTAAGTGTGATAAAAATTTGTTTAATTTTTAGGTTTAAATGTGCAATATGAAAACTAATATTAGTCAGCAAAATCAAAGGCTGCTGACTCTGCCTCACTCCAGCCAAATACTGCGTCTGCCCCCACAAAGCTGTGATGTTTTCTAATGAAGCCAAACAAAGACGTCTTTGTTTTTCGCTCTTTCTCTCCTCTCCTGTGAGTTCGTTTACTTTTCTCTCAAGTCATAGTACCGTCCGAGACAGAATGCACACAAAAAAAAAAACACCTGCAAAATTTAAAGATAGTTTTTAAATGTTGCAGTAAAGCAACTCTCAAAGTGTTCTTTCACCCTGAACTTCCTGTGATTCCAAAGCCAGGCGAGTTCAAGAGACTCTTCATCTGAAAGAAAACAGCGCATGAGACACAGCAGAAAGCCAACAACAACTTACAGGTTTACTTTGACAGCATGCTTTTAGCTTCACGTCATGATACAACCTTTAACACATCATTTTCAATGCAGATTAGTCTGCGCCTTTTAACTTACTGGGATGGTTTTGTTACAGTGAGTGACATAATAAAGCACGAGCGAAGCCTGTGGGGTTGCAGATCAATACTCTGACCACTTAATTGTCTGATAAAAAAAAAAGAGTATAAAGGCAGAGCCAGGCTGCCATTTTCAAGCAGGTCACTAATTCTGGATGGATGCCTGTGTGCAAGGCATGATGGGAAGGTTACGTAACACACTGCAATGTTTTGTTCTATGTATGGTAACCACTAAAAACAAAACAAAAAAGGACTAAAAAACAAGAATTGATTGAAAAATGTGATTTGTTTACATTAGATTGAGTATCAGTGATTTAAAAAAAAACAGTTAATTACTGTTTGTACAAGCGAATCATATGTTATTAGCGTTATTAATATGTCGGCTAGTTCAAATAATTCCCATGATAAACACTTTTTTGTGGTCCAAGCGTCTCAGCATGACTCCTTCAGCCCATTAGAGGTCGTTTCGCTGCCTAATTAGATCCCAGCAGACCTTGGCGTCAATCTCTCGCACCCGTGTTTCACTAATCCAGATTATGAGATGAGACTGAAGAACAAGAACCTACCAGAAGAAGGGCTGATGAGGATCATGATTGTCGCGGGCTCGTAAACAATAGCTGTAAGACGAATGAAGATACAAAAAAACTTCAATATGAGTTTAACACGGTAGACAAAACACAGGATTCACATAAAAAACATGTTTATAATGTCAGAGTTAAATAAAAACTTAATTAAAGCCAGAAAATTCTTTTTTTTTTGGAGCTGAAATGTTTATTTTACTCACTACTAAAAAAAACAAATAATCAAAATGTCCTTAAAATTTAATAAATATATTTATTTATTTATCTCGTTCGATACATTAGATGTTTTTGGAAACTGATAAACTACAAGAGGTGTTTTTTTAGTCATTTGTTGATCATATTGATTTGATAGAAGTATCATAAAAGTATGTATCAAATATGATAAAAAGGCATTAAAGGGTTAAAATTGATCAGTCGATTTCTCAATTCTCACCAGTGTTAACTCAAAGCAATGCATCTGCAGAAATTAAGGCAATACTAGTGTTAAAATACTCACACTTTAAACGCTGACTTTATCATACACTTCCATTAAACAGAGAAAACCTGTTCAGACCATTTTCATTGATAACACGATTAAAAAGTTGGCAGCTTTACAGTTAAAATCAAACTAAACTTTGCAAACATCATGAAAATTAAATTGGAGTGGCACAACAGCCAGCTGTTACTCTCTGTATTTTCAAGTCTTTACATGTAACCCTTGGGAGATATCTGCCTTTAATCCTTGATGCAAAACACTCTCACCTGTTTGAGTCATACAAGTTCACCTGATCAGGTTAAAACAACAAGAGTCTTTAATTACACGGATAGGTAGGCTATAAGTCCTTGTGTTTTGTCAACACCTGCTTCTCTCTTCAACTATTAAAACAATCTAAATTTACATAAGAGGCTACAGCATCCTGTTTTTTTGTCACAACAGGTGTTTTTAAAATCACTTTATGTTTCTGATTTGTGATTCTGCCTCCTGAAGCACTTGGTGGTCCACTCAAAACTTTCCTCTTTAACTTTCATTCTTATATCTGCTTTTACTCTTTCAATGAAATGTTTCTCTTGTTTTTTTTAACCAATAACATGTTTTCACATCACTTTACTGTGATATTTATTTGCTTTTACGATGAAGCCCTTTGAGGTCTCTTATTTTAAGGGCAATAAAACTAAAATATATGATTATTTATCATTATGACGCGGCACAGTTGCGCAGCAGGGCGGCCCAGTACGCAGCGCTCTATCCTCAACCTCCTCAGCACCAGACACCTCTCTGAGGTAAAGCTTTGTAAAACATCAACACAGACAGAAAAAGAAGGATTGAGTGATGTGAAACAGGTGAATAAATAAGACATTTGAGAAATCTTGTTTTTTTCCCCCAAGAGACAAGAAAGGGATGCAACTGCGTCACAACCAAAAGCTCCGTAACCTTCAAAATAAGAGTTTAAATTCCCTCTAAATTACAAATGCATGATCAATTTTGGAGACAGGTGTTCCTCACACACATCTTATCTTACCTGGTTGGATCTTCAAGAGCTACAAAATCTAGATAATTCCAGTGATGGAGAGACGTCTGTACGCGCACCTACACACAGCAGACTTGAATCTTTCTGTTTCTTTCACACACAGACTCAGATTGATCTCTTCGTCTTCTCTGACTAAAGTGTTCACAGGTACCTCGCAGTGACAGACAGAGAGGGTGTGAGAGCGTTTACCTGTCAACTTCACAGCCGCTGTTTCAGCGCGTCCTTTTAAAGACAGACGAGAAATCCGCTGGAATATTCCACCGGAAATGACGTGAAAATTGACTGTAGTCCCCTTTCCCTCTCCCCTCTGACCAGATTTAACACTGGTGGGCATTTTTGGCATTTTTGGGTGGGCTGCTAAACACAAACTAGTTTAATATTAAGCCATAAAAAGAAGCTGGGTGTGTTAAAATATGGTGGAATATTCTGGAGAACACTGTAAAACAAATTATACCTTTTATTTATTCTCAGGAAAAAAGGTTGTGTGTTATGAGACTAAGTCCTTTTTGTCATTAATATCTAATTAAAATATTATATAATTTTAGTAGGCAACACATGATGATTTTACCTCTATATGTTGGTTTTGCAAATATTATATTCAGTTAGATGTTACTCATTTTAAATGTTAAAATAAACAATCATGTTTTTTCTCGTCATACTATTTGGTAATTTTTTTCTAGAAGAATAAGTCTGACCTTTCCATCATGCATGCATATATCTTTGGTAAAATGAAGACATATTAGGTTAAAGTACGGTGGCCCACAAAGGTGAAGCGCACAAATATTGAATGAACATTAAAATCATTTCAGTGAACAATAAAAATATTTGGCAAATCAAACAGTACAAAAAAATTAACAAAACACAAAATGAATAATAAATATTTGACAAATTTTTTTTAATCTATCTATCTATAATATAAAAAACGTAGAAAAGTTTATAAAAATGCAACAAAAAACATTGAAATCATTTCAGTTAACACAAAATATTTCTGACAAATCAAGCAGTAGAAAAAAATTAACATAACACAAAATAGATCATAAATATTTGACAGGTGGTGTTTTCGCTAAGCATGTCAGATTTACTGCAACAACAAGAGAGGTAAATGACGTTTGCCCTACCCTCTATCGATCGTTACAGTGAAAAAACAGCTAAGGTGGAGTTTGACTGATATCCAGGTTTCAGGAACTGTTGGTTGGGCGAACTGATTTGACCTCTGTACCATCAAGAGGATCATCCCTTACCTGCCCACCTGACAGAACATGCAAACCAGCTCCTGCACTGACAACTGCATCTCATTACTGGCAGGCCTCCCTTAATGCACTGTTAAACTTCTGCAGGTGATGCAGAACGCAGCAGCACATCTGGTCTTCAACCAACCCAGGACTGCTAATGCCACTCCTCTGTTCATCTCCCTACACTGGCTTCCTGTTGCAGCTCGCATCAAATTCAAAATTCTCTACTTCCTAAACTTAAGGCAGCTCTTTGATTTCCTGTCTTACATTATTGGACAAACTGATTAATCCAGGTGTGACTGATCATTGTGACTGCTCAGACTTCTTGGATTTTTGTGCCCAGCTCAATTCGGAGTTGGTTTATGTACTTTGATTTTGAACAACCTGGCTCTCCTGATTCAGTTTGTCGTTATGGAAGCTGTTAAAATAAAGATAAACTTCGTTAACTTTAAGACTCCAGAGCTGGTCAAGAGGGGCTAAAACTGACAGGTTGAGAATCAAGTGAGCAGGTGGATTCAACTAAGTGAGAGGAGAAAGTCTGAGGACATCTAGTGGTGGGATGAAGAACTGCAACAACAGAGGTGGGACTATAAAGTGTGGATGGGACACACATAAAGGGAGATATAAAGTACTCAGGTATAGTTTAGTATAGTTATATTTTTTACATACGGGAGAAGGCTAAAAATAACCACACCCAGTGCAAAATATTGTGACATTGATTTCTTTTAATGATCAACACATTAAAAAAGAGAAAACTCAAACTTAATAAGGACTACTACAAGATGACACACTAAAGAGCAACAAATCTAATTAAATTACATTTGAGTGAATCCCCTAAAAGCGTGTGTTTACCTGATCCTTCACACTGAGCAGAGAGTCAGAGGACATGTCTAGTGGACTTGGTAGTCATGACAGCACTTCCCGTCAGGCTGCTCAGCATTCACACAGGAAAAGCCATGAGTGGCATCATATCTGAAAAACACATATAAAGAAAACTATTAAAGGAGCAATCCCCCAAATATCCTCCATGGCCACATAAAATACAGACATAAGAGTGGCATTGATATTCTCATCTGTGTCCAAGCAGTTGAATTTCTTCACTGTGATGTAACAAAAGTTTCTTAAATGTTAAACATATAGATGTTATTTCATTTCCTGTCTCTGATTTAATATCCTGTCTTTTTTATTTCTGTCATTTCAGTTTGTTGCCCCCAGCTGTCAGAGTATGATGCATGTTTCTGGAGCGGTGGTGGCATTATCGTCTCTACAGCAACTCACTCTTGAAAGACATCACCGGTCTGGATGAGGGTTTAGTAATCCCCCCAAATTTGAAGGATCATCCAAGTCAAACCAGCTTGTCCTACAACCTGCGAAGTGGCCAGTATGAAACTGTCACTGGTCTGTGTAGGAAATACTGAGTATACCCAAGTTTTGATGTTGCAAATTTCATGCATATGTGTATTTAATTTACTTTTTCATATCTATTTCCCTTAAAAACTAACAGAATTAGAAGATAAACCATTAGATATGTGTGTCAACTCACCTTGACAAGAGTCTAAGTATCACCTGATAGTCCTCACATTGTTTAGTCGTCTGTAAGTAAGTGGTTCGTTACACACAGAAACATAGAAGTGAAATAAAAAACTTCACAAGATTACAAATAGCACATGAATTTTGTTTTTAATTAAGAAACACCAAGGGCAAAGGGAGCATCTTTTTTCAACAGTGGAAATGAACGTCAGGCCGTCCTGACGATGGACAATATTTCATCCGGTACATTTTTTTTCTTTTATTCAGTCATCCACTTTCTCTGCAGGTCAGAAGTGAAACAGTTCTCAAAAATCAAAAGTTACAGAATCAGTAAAAGTGCACTTTCTCATATTTTGCAATGGTTAAAAAAGCAGTGGCAGTTTCTTGACATTTGTGTGTATGAGAATCCAGTTCAGGCGCTGATGCACAAAGGGGACCCAGCAGGGGGCGCCCACACTGTGTCAGAGTCCTCGATCTGGACCACAGCAGCGGCTCCTCACAAACATGTTGACACCTTCCTGTTCGTATCTCGTCTTTGTCACGTTTGTATCCTAAGACTTTTTTTTATATCGAGTGAAAAACAAGACCAGTTTCCGACCGTTTGACCAGGCAGCTCCAGTCAGCTACGTGTGAACCTTCTGTGGATCTTTATTTTGGGGATTTATGTAGAACTCTTAACTCAAACATGAGGGGAAAAACAAGGGGGGATGTGGGAGGCAATACACAATAACCAGAGGAAAGAAAAAAAGCGAGTGTGTGATTGCTCTAAAACAGCAGGATTAAGCCTCGAAACAAAAGTGATGAAAGAAAAAAAGAAAATAAATAAAAAATGAAGCAACTCTACGGATATTAATACAAATATTTTAAGCTTACAAAAAATTTGAACAAAAAAAAACAAAAAACGTTTGTGATCGTGCCGTTTGTGGTTTTGGCAGTGCGGTGGACTAAACGTGGGCGGAGCATGCTTTCATGGAGTTTCACACCGGGTCACGGCACCTTCAGGGAACACCGTCCCAAATACTGCTGAGGAAACAAACCGCAGGAGCCCTTCAGAGTTTTACAGCTTCCTGAACCAACACTAAAAAACTGGAGGAACATCTTGAGGCAGTTCTGGATCGAATCCTCTTCAAGATACTGATGCACAAACAAACACAAAAACACGCTCCTGGTTCGATTACGAGCCTTAAAGCGGAGTGACCTGTGAGAAATCAACGTCTAGCTGCAGACACCGCTCATTTGAAAGATTATCAACCTGACTGGCAGATAGTTAAACACATACAAACAATATTTTCAACAGGCACACATGAAAAATACATCCTTCTGCGGCTTCTTTTTGAGATCTACTCAATCAAAATAAGTCTGTGGAGGCAGCGAATCCTGCTATAATCATGTAAAATCAACCTTAAAACGCCATGCATATGAAGAAACGACAAAAGTGGACATGATTCGGATGATTTCCTCAGTCTAGGTAACCAAAAAACTAAAAGAAACACCTCTACGTGTGACAGACAGTACGTGCTGTTTCTTCATGTCTGACGTTAGCACCATGGTTTCTTTCTTTACCGTAAAATAAAAAAAAAAGAGCGAATAAAAAAACACGAAAGCGCCGAGAGCGTCAGCCGACGGGTAACATTTGGCGTTACTGTTTTGCGTTCGGCGACCTGAGTTGTGAACTGAAGCTGCGTGTGTGACCGTGACCGAGTGCGCCCCCGAAAAGACTGTGAGCATGCTCGCACCCTTCGAAAAAAAGAAAAATAAAAACAGAAAAAGGTTCCTCTACAGAAGTGAAGAAAGAAGGCCTAAACATTTTCAAGTATTAATACAGTTAGGCCCATAAAAAAGCCCCGGACACACAGTATTAGAACCCAGAAATAACTCTAGGAAAGTAGAAGAGCAGTTATGGTTAGTTTGCATGTTTCCCCCACAAATATAATATATATATATATATATTCATATGTATATAAATAAAAATTCAGTGCTGTAAAAACATCTCCAACTCCATAGGATCTGACCCACCGTAGAAGGCCTAATATGTTTAACTCTGACTCCTCTCATGGCTAAAAACTACTGCTGGAAGTATGTAAACTGTACTGGTTCTCCTGTGTTAAAAGTCCTTCATCGAGAATACAACACTGAGGAAGAGAAGACGTGTTAATATCGTTTCTTTTTTCTCTCTTTTTTTGGTTTTACTGCACACAGAGAAACAAATCCTGTCGTGTCGTCTTGTTTTCGTTTGTTTGTTTGGTTTTGGTAGCAGCAAAGCACCAAGTTTCTGTCAACCTCTTTGTTTGTGTGAGTCTCTCTGTGTGAGTCTGCTGTGAGTGTGTGTGTGTGTGTAAGTGTGTAAATGACATCACTCCAAAGTCTCTGTTCGTGTGTGTGTGTGAGTGTGTGTTAATGCAGTGATCTATGAAGAGCATGGCTGCACGTTGACGCCTAAGGCTGCGTGGGCTTGCAGGTCGATGGCCTGGGCGGGCTGCTGTCCCGGCCGGGCGTTCATCAGTGTCAGGTTTCTGACGCAGCCCGTCATTCCCGACGAAAACTTCCCTCCTGTCATCGCCGCCATATCTGGGGCTCCACCTGTTGAGAGAGAAAACACACTTTTTGATACGCAATCATAGACTGTGTATAGAATGGACGCCGTCTGCCTCCTCACTGGGTGAAGCCACCGTGAGAACAGCACCCTCTAGTGATGGGCTGCAGTATAGGTCATAAATCCCATTTCATAAGCTTCATTTTCAGGGGTGAATTCTTGGTTCATTGCGTCTAAACGAAGGGTGCAAACAATGGTTAATGTCTCCGTTTTTAAAAATAACCGGATATGAATAAACAGGGACTGAGTCCACTCACCAAGGTATATACTTCCTTTTGTGTTGACCATCAGACTCCTGCCTCTAGACTGCCCGTGCAGCTCGGCTCCTCCATCAACCTGGATGTATCCGTCTTTTCCAGTTCTGCGAGGACAGAGTAGAAGTATTTAGTGACAAAGATTGGAAGTAAAGCAGGAATGAAAAATGCTTAAAGTTCACTAAAACTGAGGCTTGAATATGCAGACACCTGACAGCTGTTATCTTATGCCATCTCCCATCATTTATGGACTTCTTGGACAGGATCTCCGCCTCTCCGCTGCCGAGCTGGTAACTGCACATCAGACAAGACATCAGCGTTATGACAAGATTAAATGTAGCTGTCAGAAAGGCTTTCAGGTTGCAGGGCTGACTCACCTGAAGACGAGGTGTCCGTTCTGTAGACCGAGGCTGATGAAGTCCTTCCCTTTGCCGTGTTCGCCGTGTTCCTGGAAATAAATGCGTTGAGTCAGCAGAGGAGGATAACTCAATTGTGACATTTCCTTTAATGCAAAATAACAGTGACAAAAATGAAGCTTGCATGCCTGATCTGCAATTCAAACACACACTGTCTTTGAAATCACATCAATCTTAAACAGACCGTAGTGGAACGGTTTGATGTTATGAAACTTATGAACGTGTCTCGTGCTTTTGTGAGTGGATACCTTTTTACTAGCATGCACCTTTCGCAAATTGCGTGCGCCATTGGTCTCCTGAAGAAGATGGAGGGCGAGTTAGAGAAGCGACATGCATATTTAGTGGTGTCAGGTAGAGATCATGCCCGACAACGTTACAGCCACAGCAGCACAAGTATGAATTAGACAACGTGATGATGGTGAACGCTGCTCAACATGAATGAGTTAACGTCTTTACAGGTGAGGTCATGGTGGTAAAGTTAGGGTGAGGATGAAAAGATGCACATCGAGGGTGTGAGTATCAGGTTTCAGGTCTCCGTGGCAGGATCAGGACTTACCACTCCCTGCCACAAGATCAGACCCTCGGAGGAGCCGGTGTTGATCTCTAGTTCGATGGTTTCTGGAGAGTCATGGGCACTAAAACAGAGACAAAAAAACAATCACTTCACATAATGGCAACTGCTATTAACACAACATCTATTCAAATGCTCCAACTACAAGTTACCTTCTGGGGAAAATGGATCTGGGAAGGGCGATGTATCCGTCATTGTTGAAGTGAGCTGCGTACTGATAGGGCGAATCTACAAAAATACAAATAAATGAGAGCAAAACATCAACAAGGCTGCAGTGAAGATTAATCCTCACTGTTATAGTGCCCTCTAGTGGAGGCTCTTAATAACACAGGCATGATAGTGTAGATCTCTAATGACACTTCATCATGTTATCTTAGATTACAAACTCTCAAAATCACCTGACGCTCGTATTTATGAATTTGTTTGCTGACTTTTTTTGTGAGACAAAGTAAGACAGTAAATTCAATTCCATATCAGGAGAACCTTTGACTGATTTATTCGTTTATTTCAGGTTGTTACTGAGCCGGTTATTTCTTTTTCTTTACCCACTTTAAACACATGAAAAAAATCAGATAATACAGTATTGATAATGTCCCTAATTTCATGTGCAATTTTAAGAGACACACAAAAACCCCTGAGTGCGACAAAACCAGGCTCCATGATGCAACTTCATCCCTGAACGAGTCACTTTCATTCCTCGCAGGCTACACCTCCTCCGACCTTTCACAACAGAGGTCGGACTGAACCATCACGAGTCCACCGCATGCACAAATCCCACATGAAGAACAGACTGTGCTCCGAGCGCATCCCCCAGCTCCCCCCATCACCTCCACACTGAGCTTTTCGACAGACAGTTTGAGTTGTTAGTGGCAGCCCAGATGAGTAGAGCGGATTTATTTCTCTAACCTGGACGAAAAGAGGTGTTTCCGCCTTATTGACGAGACTTCATATTGTGAGTTAATTTTTTACAGGATGTGACGTGACGATGGAAAAACAAAAAGAAGAGGAATTCTACATTTCATTCGGTCCAAAAGCAGGTAGGAAGTAAAGTCTACCCCCCTGATACCTTTCAGAAGATGCAGAATTCCCCTCTCCCAACTTCTCAGTAGGGGGTAAGAATCTTAAGAGTTACCAGCTGAGTACAGACATGTTTTCTTTGTGTTTA